GACAGGCTATGTGTGTGTGTGTGTGTGTGTGTGTGTGTGTGTGCTGGGGCTGGGAACACTCTCAGAAACCCCAGTGGTTACCGCCTTGCGGCTGCAGTTGGTTATGCAGGGGGGGGGGGGGGGGGGGGGGGTCTCGCCTCAACCACCACCAGTGTGCAGCATCCACTTGGTTAACAGCATTCAGGGGAAACTGACGGTTCCCTTCCGCACCTCCTGTGAGTTTTTGTGACTAATTTACCTTGATGTTGTTGAATATAAATTGTTCGTAGCACTAATCAACAATAATAAATGTCTCAAGATGTCTAGAATATTTAGATATCTTTGTCAGTGTAAGATGTTCTGCATTGTTCAGATGCTGCCTCCAAGCACGCCGTCCAGGCTTTCTTTGACTGTCTGCGGGCTGAGGTTCAGGAATATGGGATAACCATCAGCACCGTCAACCACACCTTCATACAAACTCCCAGTACAAACTCAGCGGATGAAATCACAGAAAAATCCATGTGGACAGGTGAGTGAACTACACTGACATGTTCATAATGCCTTTGCACATGGTTTGTAGCTCATAACATCTTATTTGTTTGTTCACTAAATTGTCCTGGGCATTCTGCTTGGACACTGGCTGGAAACTGCAGACTTCAAACCCAAGTCTCTTGGTGTGACCCCTAAAGAGATGGACACTGAGCTCCTGAAGACACTGAGCAGCAAGAAGAAGGAGGTTTTGGTGGCCCGCTCCATCCCTAAAGCAGCTCTCTATGTCAGATCGCTCTTTCCTAACCTGTTCTTCGCCATCATGGCAGCAGGAGTCAGAAATACAGTAGCTGTGGAGACGCCTGATGACTGAAGAACAATGGGTTTTACTAGAACATATCTACATTGTATAAAGGATGTTTCACTGTGCTGTAGTGCACAAATTAGAAGAAAATTATCAAGTCAGTATGACTGTGGATTTGCTGTGACTGCTCTTGTTTGGAAAAAAGTAACAAATAAACCTGAAATCAATATCTATCTATCATCTATCATCTATCTATCTATCTATCTACATTTAGCCATTTAGCAGACGCTTTTATCCAAAGCGACTTACAAATGAGGACAATGGAAGCAATCAAAATCAACAAAAGAGTAATGATATGCAAGTGCTATAACAAGTCTAGGTTAGATTAATGCAGTACATGTAGCAAGGTTTTTTTTAATTATATAATAAATAAAAAGAAAACAGATAGAATAGAAAAAGAATAGAGCAAGCTAGTTAGAGGCCTTTTTTGCTTTTGTTAATTGTATAATAAATAAAAAGAAAACAAATAAATACAAAAACATTAGAGAAGCTACTGTTAGTTTTTTTTTTTAAGAAAACAAGCAGCTAGTAAATGAATAGAGTGCAAGTCTAAAAGGGACAAGTTTTTTTTTAATTTTTTTAATAGAATTAGAATAGAGAGTGATAAGAGTTAGAGGGTCAAATAAAGATGGAAGAGATGTGTTTTTAGCCGATTCCTGAAGATGGCTAAGGACTCAGCTGCTCGGATTGAGTTGGGCAGGTCATTCCACCAGGAGGGAACATTTAATTTAAAAGTCCGTGAAAGTGATTTTGTGCCTCTTTGGGATGGCACAATAAAGCATACGTTCATCTTAGTTTATTATTTTATTTACTAGTGTATTCAAAATTCATATGTAATATTTAAATAGGGTCATGTGAGGATCTAAGGCTGTAGTTCACTGGTGCTGGTCAGATGTGACAGATGAATAAATATTATTACAGCGCCCTCTGCTGTTATTGCTCCGCACTGTGTGGTGACGTCACATCATGGCGCGCTACATATTGTCTCAAAACTGCATCTATCGGTTCACTCAAGGATATAAAAACAGTCAGCGACTCAGCAGCAGATACAAATGTTGTGGATGCACTAACTTCTCGAATACATGTGTGATACACGATAGACAGAATCAGCGTTTCACAGTTACTCTTGACTGCGGCGGTAAGAGCAAATATATTTCATTCTGATGTTGTGTCTCAAAACCCAGTGAGCTGCCTATTTAGACAGCATTCTGACCATCAATACACAGATGATTCACATCGCGGTGACCACTAGGTAGGCAGCCCTATGGGTTATGAGACTAAATTTCATGTGATTTTATGCCAATAACAACAACAATCCTATTAATAATAATAAGTAAATTTCCCTTGTCGTGAGAATCAGGAGCAGTGAGCAGTGCAGTGCTGAAATACAGTCAGTCAGGATCAGCAGGTGGAGTTGATCTCTACAGAGGTTCCTGAATCACACAGGGGTAAAGGTGAAATCACTCTTCAGCTTCCTCAGTTCTTCATGTTCTGCTGTTTCCTGTAACTCAGTAACAAACTTCTTTTTGTTTTTTCTTTAGGCTGCTCTGGATTTCGTTGTTGAAGAAAAGTTGGCAGTGAGGATATCCTGTTGGTACATTAGAAAATATGTTGATGAAAATCCACATCTTGGATACCAGGCTTACATTGAAAATAAATAAAGGCAGAATTAAACAATATCTTAACAGAAGGTTTTACATACATCTTTCCTCCTTTACAACCTGACTCCTTGCAGTTTTATGACAGGATGAACAGAGCAGATGTCAGAGCCTACAAAAGAGGTACAAACAAGTAAACAAACGGTTGAACGTACGAATGAATGAAGCCATGCATAAATACAGTCCAAACAGTGTTGAAATAGGCTGTGTCATATATTTTATTCTAAACTTTTCTGCCATCCAGACTTGTTAACTTCACCCTCTATTAAAAATATAGATTAATCAAGTAACCATCTCAGTGCCTAGTAACCACTCTATTGCTTAGAAAAACCCTAGCACTGAAAATCATGTTGTTACTAGTGTTTTTTTTTTATTTTTTAAAAGGCCTACTGAATGTAATTCATGAGGGTGTTATTCAGTGATGCCATGTGTACATTTCAGACATCTTGGATATTAGGATAATTAAGTGAGATCATTCTGCTGGAATTATTAGGCAAATTATTGAACCCACGGTCTTCATCATCTGAAACACAAGATTATTGTGTTCCAAATCACAATGTCCTACATTTCAAAAAGCCATGAGTAAAATAGGACTTTAATTTTTATTAATTTTTTTGTAAATGTAATTTCACAGTTTAAATTCACATTTTATTGCATGAATACATCACAAACATCAGGTGTCTCACATTGCTCTAATTCACACGTCAATTTATCTGTCAGTTAGAAAAGTGATTTATTTAGATTTTTGCTTTTGAGGTGAATAAATACTGTGATTTGTATTGTTTGTTTTTTGTACATTTTTCTTTATTTACGCCTGCTGTAGCAAGTACACAGCTAGCACAGCACGTAGCCTGGATTCCAACCTCATCACGTTCCGACACTTGATTTGCTGCGGCTGCATTTCGCGGAAGTCAAAGTGAAACCGAATGCGATCCAAAGACTAGATCGACGCCATTTCAGATGAGTCGAGATCAACGATGTCTTCACATGTTACGGTAAGTTCGTTAAAACGGTTCACAGCAGTGATATCAATAAGGACCTTTTGCGTCTAAACAGACCGTTTGTCGAACTCAAACACGTTAAAGATGTTCGTTATTCTCCTGATAGAGACGAGAAGAGCAGCGCGGTTAGGACAGTTCCCATCCTCAGGCCTGTTGTGCTTCCAACTCTCATATTTTCTATGTCGGTCTACCTAATTCTAATCAAACACACCTAAAGTTCAACACTGTGGTTAACTTGAGTTTTATAATAGACATTCGTATGACATTCGTGGAAATCCACGTTATATTCTCCGTTTGTATCATACTCGCGCAGGGCCGGAGTGGGAGTATTTTTCAGCCCTGGAGTTTCATGACTTAGAGCGGCCCACTTTAGTTCACGACTGACTAGCTATTACAATAATGTAATTAAAACTTCAGTATATAAGTCTGCAATGGCGCACTGTTCTCTACAGACTTGTAATTCATTATATTGTTCTACAGCTTTGTTTTTGTTTTTTACTGGCCTTTTCAGCGCCGCCTTTGCACTTTCTATTATCCATTTTTTAAACTATAATTTTTTGCTCGCATATCTCCAACGCATATCTCATACAAAAACATAATGTCTGCCTGCAGTTAAAAAGTTCTCAGAAATAATCACATTTGTTTTGCTTAACCTATTAATGTACAGTTATTCTAAAAATAATTTTAATGTCATACAAAAAAACAAAAGTCATCATCCTGAGTAAATTGTACCATTATAAAATTGTGACTGCACACGTAGTGTAGTAGTTTAGGAGGTGAAAATACTGTGAAATTACATACATACAAATGGCAAGAAATTTGAAAGCAACAACTGAACGTCTATGAAACGTCAGTCAATAATATTTTTTTAAACAATGGCACTTACATTTTTTGAACTAAAATAGGCTATTATTGCAACCATATAGCCTATGAATTAGGGATGCACCGATACCACTTTTTCCAGTACTCGCCCGATACCGATACTTTTATTTTTGGTACTTGTCGATACCGAGTACCGATACCAATATTTTTATTGCATTTGTACATTTTTAAAATATTGGGTACAGAAACTTATAAGAGTATGTATAATGTTAGTTTGTTAACTTCATTTATCAAATAGATACAGTCAAACCAAAATTTATTCAGACACCTTCAACATTTCTCACATTATCACAGTTTATTCACTATAGTTTAGAAAATGGTAATAAAATATAACAAGAACTCAGAGTTAAACTGTGTCAGAACAAATTCAGCTTGATAATGTTAGATAACTTTGATAGAAAGGTATGTAATGGATTACAATCAACCAAAAATTAGACAGCTGTTAGTATGACACTATTTACACAACTATCAATACTTAGTCTATTGTACCACAACTCCACAGCTCTGGCTGGGGATGCCAAATTTTGCCCTGCGCTTGCGGTCTCTCATCAGTGGTATTGGCCACAAGGCTGCTGACAGCAGCTGAATCATCTCCGGGAACCAAACTTGGTTCCTCCAGAGTAGGGCCACAAGGAGAGTGAACATTTCATTTCCCTGACTCGCCAGATAACCAAAGGGAGCAAAGCGATCGGAGGGAATGCATCCAGACAGTGCATACAGTGTTGGGCCAATCATGGGCCGGAGCATCCCGCTGCATTGAAAAATAGATTGCGCAATGACAGTTGTCTTCGGAGACGAAGAGGTCCACCTCTGCCTTGCCGAAGACTGGCCAAATCATCTGAACCGACTGGGGATGTAGTCTCCATTCTCCTGGGGCTACATTGTCGCTGGAAAGCATGTCCGCTCTTTGGTTCAGTTTGTTCGGCACATGAACCGCTTGTAGTGAAAGGAGTTTGCTCTGTGCCCAATGCAGGAGACGCCGAGTCATCCTGTAGAGGGGACATGACCTGAGGCCCCCTTGGCGATTGATATAGGCTACCACAGTCATGTTGTCCGAACGGACCAGGATGTGGTGCCCCTTTAAGGCTGGCAGGAAGGTTCTTAGGGCCAGACAAACAGCCATCATTTCGAGGCAGTTGATGTGTAGGCATTGGATTGCCTTCGTACAGAGCACCCCAGCCCAAGCTGGAGGCGTCTGTCGTGACCACCTTCCTCCTGGATGTAATTTCCAACTGTACGCCTGGTAAAAACTAGCAAGGCATTGTCCAAGGGGCCACAGCTTTTGACGCAGCGATGTGTTACCCTTATATAACACCGGCCCAGGTGCCAAGCGTGGGACGGAACATGAGTTCTGAGCCAGTATTGGAGGGACTGCATGTGTAGCAGGCCCAGGGGAAACGATGAGGAAGTGGCCGCCATGAGGCCGAGCAACCTCTGAAACACCCTGAGGGGACGTGTAGTCCCTAACTTGAACGATGCCACCACTCGCTGAATGTTCAGGGAGCGTTCCGGCGTAATCCAGGCTCACATTTGAACTGAGTCTATAATTGTTTCCAGAAGCACACTCGCTGTCTGGGAGTCAGAAAACTCTTGGCTGAATTGATTCTCAGCCCAAGACGCTCCAGATGGTTGAGCAACAATGACCTGTGAGCGATAAGTTCCCGTTCTGATCTGGCTAGCACCAGCCAGTCATCAAGGTAAATGATGCGGATTCCCTTCTGTCTCAGAGGGGAAAGAGCTGTGTCCCTGCACTTCGTAAAGTGCGATCTCAAGAACGGTCTGTGATAGGATGTGAAAGTATGCATCTTTCAGATCCACAGACAGAAAACCAGTCCTCGGGGCATATTTGCATGAGAATCTGTTTCAAAGTTCTGAACGGCCATCGCATGAGAGAGCGATTCAGATGTCTGAGATCGAGAATTGGTCTGAGCCTGCCATTTTTCTTGGGAACAAGGAAGTAGTGGCTGTAGAAACCTGACTGGCTGTTCGCTAAAGGGACCGTTTCTATGGCACCTTTTGCAAGCAATGTTAGCACTTCATACCAAAAACGTGAGCTTCATTGTCCTGTACCGAAGTTTGAATAATACCTCTGAAGCGAGGTGGCCTGAAAGCAAATTGGAGTGAGTAACCTCGTTCTATGGTTTTTAGAAACCAACCTGACACAACAGGGATGGCTTTCCAACCCTTGACCGGATGGAAAGAGGTTCTAATTATTTAAACGTTAGTTCGCCACACGGGGGCGGGGAACTGGCCTTCCTGGGGAGAAAAGCTCTCGGAGAATGGAGAGCGAGCGTGAGTTCGCCGTGGGAGCAACCTGCGCCCATGAGCACAGCTTCAGTGTGGGCATGACCCATACGCATTCAAATCTGATGCGGTCAATGATAATAATCAGTGGGGGGTGCGGTGTCTTCATTGAAGGCGAACCGCAAGCGAAGCAGCGAGAGACACAAGCTCTCGTAGTGAGAGCAATCTATCTCAGTGAGAGCAGTCTCAGTGTGGGCGTGGCCCAGGCATGCGGCACACTAGAATCTGAAGCTGTCAACTATATGGAATCATTGGTGAGAGCATTCTCCTCTGATCCGCCTAAAAAAGATCAAACCGCTCTAAGCAATTGAGGGGTGCTGATCTTCACGTGTAAAACATCATGGCAAATCAAAGTGCTGTGGGGAGAGTGAAGCACGCGGGACCTTTCTTCAATGAAGAAAGCGAGCCGCGAGCGAAGCAGGAACAGACTGATGCTTTCGCTGTGAAAACAGTCTGTCTCAGTGAGCGCAGCCTAGTGCGAAGCTGTCAGTGATGCAGAAAGATTGGTGACAGCATTCTACTCCGATTTGCCTAGAAGGATTGAGCCGCTCGATGTAACGAGGGGCACTGATCCTTACGTGTAAACACACAGGCAGATCAAAGTTCTGCTGAAAGAGTGAGCATGTGAGACCTGTGCCGATGTGGGATCACTCAAACCCGGATGCTCAGCTCCGTGACTCAAACTTTCTTTCTCCGAGCTCACTGAGAGAAGAGAAACGAGAGAGCGGGAGGGGCGGGGTGGCTTTCATTGAAGAAAGTGATCCACAAGCTAAGCAGGAACAGACTGATGCTTTCGCAGTAAAAGCAGTCTGTCTCAGTGAGTGCAGCCTAATGTGAAGCTGTCAACGCTTACAGAGACATTGGTGACAGCATTCTACTCCGATCCACCTAAGGATTGAGCCGCTCAAAGTAATGAGGGGGCACTGATCCTTGTGTGTAATCACACTGGCGGATCAAAGTGCTACTGGGAGATTGAACATGTGAGACCTGTGCCGGCATGGGATCACTTAAACCCAGTTGCTCAGCTCTGTGACTCCACAGTTCCTTTCTCCAAGCTTGCTGAGAGAGGAGAAACAGAAGAGCGGGGCTGCAGTCCGCGAGCGGTGAAGAGCGAGACTCATGCTCTCAGTGAGAGCATTCTGTCTCAGTGAGCACGCAGTCTCTGCGTGGGCGCTGCACAGACAGGCGACACACTCACTGCGCCCTTCTGCATGCAAGAGACCCACTCGCGGGGCGACATTTGCAACAATGTCTCTAGGAAATTTGCACAGAAATTTGCCCTTCTGAAGCGCTGGATAGCCGCAGAGGAAGTCTTCTCGCTTCTTCCCCTGCTGGGGCTCTTCTCTGGCGGCGAGCTGCAGGCTGAGCTTCTTCCTTTTTCGGCTTCTTGATCGCAGAGTCAGCAAAGAGATGGTCTCGTCGTTGAAGATTCTGATGAAATGGCGCTCTGAGCTGACTTATATAGAGTCGGCTCTGCCCATTCTGGCAGGCTAAAGCGCCATTGGTTTGTGCAGCTACACAAACGTTAACAAATCAGGCTTTCAGTACCAGGGTAAACAGGAGTTGACCCCATACGCAACGTGAAGTGAACGTTTGAAAGGGAACAGACACACCAATTAGTTATTTACCTATCTGAAGAATAGCTGAAGCTGATTGATATTGTGTTGGTCTGGAGCAAGGTTTGCATACAGTATTCATGAAAAATAAGCAAAGTAGTTTTAAAATCTGACAAATGGCTCAAAATTAGAGCATTCTGATATTCCATTTTATTTATTTATTTAAACACTGATCTACACTGGACACTTGTGGGGACGCTGTATAGCTAGAGAGTGCTAGGCACTGTATGATGATACAAGCCTGCTGAAGTCATAGGCTACGTTAAGTATAAATATGTTCTGCTCACTTTATGACTTAAAATAGAAAATATTTGTTGCATAAGGACACGTTTGCAATTTATATTCATATGGTTTAAACAAGTCTATGATTTGTATGAATATTTTGGTGGGACTCTGCCCTAATGAGCCGTGGCTGAAGAACAATGTAATATTATGATCAAATCTATGATGAAAAATTCAATAATTTTACACATCAAGAGAATATCAAACACAGTGTATTTCTCTAGCTGGAAATCTTAAGGATTTGCACGTTAACTTCAATATTTAATGTAACTTTAATGTTGAGAGCATTAGCGAGAACACTTGTCTGTTTTCTTTCATACTCTTATTCTGAGGACACTCGTGCAGCAATGGATGGCGAGGACCTCTTTGCAGAAATGGGCTACACAAAAAGAGAGACTCAAAAGTCGTAAAACTTACCAATTCCCGGATAAGGCATCTAGGGATTGTTGTATTAGAATAAACACAAATAGAACAAAATGACTAAAGTAACAAAGACAAACATATGATTAGACAACAGATAGTTTAATGGTGTGCTGGACATTGGATAATTTCACAAGAAAGTATAATGCAAATGACAGTCTTTATCAGTGTAAAATATTATATAAGCCTATAATAATTAATCCTCATGATATGAAGCCACATCAGATAACTAAAGGGAGCTGTTTTAAACACTGGATGCAAATGAGTCAGAGTAAAAACATATAATTAAATATTCTCTTTTGTTGGAAAACAGGTTTGTAAACACTCCTCATTAAATTAGAAACATATATTGAGGTCGTGTTTCTATTAGATGCATGTTAAAGGTGACAACTGAGCTTGCAAAGATGGATTGTGCAGCATTATGCGAACCGATCAATGCACTCTGATCTCAGTACAGTACTTCACAAAATAAACAGAGCAAACAATTATTTAATTATAACTTTTATTATTTAAAAATTGCACCGAGCCAATGTGCAAAGCAGGCTCAATTTAGGTTAAATCATGCAGCGCTAGTATGCTAGATTAACCTCATACATGAACAATCACACAACAAGTGCTCACTTCGTATAACCAAGCACTTTGTCTTAAACACATGTGTGAATAGCCTTGCAAAGACAAAAAAAATCTACACCCAACCACCACAAGTGCATAAAACAATATAAATACTTATCATTGTGTAGGCTGATGTAGTGATGAAGATGGAATGCTAAAAGAGATTGGCAACTATGTTTTAGATAGCAGGCCAGGAAAGTCTTTGATAAAAGTTTACGTGAGCATTCAGACAAAGATGGAGGAACAACAAACGTGAGGAAGTGGGATGCTTTCGAGATTTGAATCGTAAGATATGGCTCTGCATTTGCTAAAAGAACTTGCCATGTAAACTGGTGATTGAGACGCCAGTAGAGTTGACGCGACAGCTCAATGAACATTCAGAATGATAGCTGACATGATCTTAAAAGGCCTGCTAGTGTTTCACATTTTCCGTTGATAAAATTATTAACACTTTTGAATCATAGTAGGAGGACGATCAAACAACCACAAATGTTTTCTGTGTGATTAGTTCAATGCATAATATTAATCAAATAGTGTGAATTGTGAAAGGAAGGTCATTTGTCAACGACTGCAAAAATGAAGCAGTGAGTTCAGTGCTTATATACCAGGTGTCAAGCAGTGATTGGCCAGACCTATTAATATGAATGAATGATGTGGCATTAGAGCCTTTCTAGCAGTACTTATGCTTAAAGCTTCATTTCTCTGTTTCCACATACAGGCCTGAAGTCAAGTTTCTTATCTAGGAAGAAGAGAAACAGAAGAACAGCATGTAAAATGAGTGTGTATGAGGAGAGAATATGAGGCTCACTGTTGACACTCAGAGAGCAGCATCTCCAGGATTCAGCTGTGTGTCAATGAAGAGCAACAGATCCGTGGGTCTGCCCCCTTATCTGAGTGATTTTGACCCTCTGAGAGCAGCATCTCCAGGATTCAGCTGTGTGTCAATGAAGAGCAACAGATCCATGGGTCTGCCCCCTAATCTCAGTGATTTTGACCGTCAGAGAGCAGCATCTACAGCATCTATCTTTGACCCTGTGTGAGTATCATGACATTGGATGTGAATTCTATTAAACACTGCGCTCACTGAGGTTCTTCTCTTTTAATATTTTAATAATAAAAAAACTCCTTACACACCTGCATGATCACTGAAAAATAAAATAAATAATAATGATAATAATAATAATAATTTGCAAAAATTGTAATACTAATATTATGTTAATAATATATAAATATTAGGTTATAAGTAATAATATTAGGTAATAAGTAATAAATATTAGGAATGTCACAATGTGAAATTTTGACTAAATTATTATTGTCTGATATAATATGATATCTGCGATTATCTGTAGATTTACCTTCAATTAAACAATTTTAAAAATCCACAGACATATCACAATTTTGGTCCTGTTTAAACAAATGGTCACTTCATGCATTTTCTCTGATCAGGTAGCTATCCGATCGTGAAAAGACTGGGTTTAAATGTCCTACAAAACACTTTCGTGATGGATTTAAGTCTGATCACTCAAACCACTTCAGGAGGTCTGGGGCGCATTCCAGATGAAACTGGACAAGTGTAAATGCATCTTGTTGTTGAAACCACATATGCAAATTTTACACCTCCCAAAATGTAAAAAATAAATAAATAAATGTGTGAGAGTGTGTTATTGGCTATATGACATGTCATAGCCATATATGACAGCGCTAATGCTACATGCATCGCCACAGATGAGTAGCTGAGTATCTCTTCAGCAAGCCGACAGACAAACTGCCGCAAATGAAACTGAAAGTCAGTTAAGTAGTGAGACTCAATTATCTTATCAGTACTAAAGTATATCTCCTGTTGCAGTCATTGATCTTGAAATTAGCTGATGATGAATAAAATGTGGTGCATATCTTTTGCTTTATTTGACGTGAATGCTGTTAAATTTGCATATAGCTTGGGAATTCAAGATTGTATTTAAATTTGTTTTGCGGAGAAACATTTATGTTGCCAAGTGGAATGGATTTAACAATCCAGATAGCTTTCAGATCAGTAAAAACACATGAAGTGACCAGGAGTAAACAAGCCCTTTATTGCAGCATTAATTGGGATATGCAGTTAAGATATTCAATGTCAATAGCTACCATTAACTGTTTGGTGACCAGCATTCATCAAAATACCTTTTTTGTGCTTTCTCTAGTGAAGTAATGAGTTTATAGACACTGAGTGAAAGCGTTACGTCACATGTTGTTCCACAAGCTGTTTCTATCCACGTCTTTCCACGGTTGAAACATGATAACATTATGCACAATACATTTCAGTCAGTTGCATTATTCAACATACCTTCTGATGTTCATTCATGTTTATTTTGTGCTAGTAGCACAGCACAAAAGCAGGGGAGATGATTGGTTCAGGTGTTCTCTGTGTTTCTGCTTGAACAGAAATGAGTCTATAGCGATCTGCAGATTTATATAAATTGCAATTATTGTTTGAAATTTGTCACAAAATTTACAGAACTTTAAAGCGGAGACCTTGTTTATATTAAAATAACAAAGCACAAAGCTTATTGTTATTATTGGATGGGGAAGCGTACAGCAAATAATGTTTAGTGAAGTTAAGTAATATTTACTATGTTTGTAACACTATTACCTTCATCTGGGCCTGAATCTTTGGATGGTGATCCCACAGGTGCTGTAACATTTTAGATGTGTTCGCATTAGCTGTCACTTTTCATCTGCATGATTTGCATATTGGATACCCGTCCTCAACCACACCTAAATCATTTTAAGATAGCTAAAATGCTCCCAAATAGCTAAATTTGCATCTTCAGTGGATACAAGTCTGGAAGTTGCCTTCTTCCACCATGTCACATCATTTTGAGAGTTTCAAATGTGCCTTTATTAGAAGATCACCAGTGAACTCAGCTCGTAACAGCATCACAGAGCATCTGGACTGACAGCACATGCAGGAGAAAGTAGTTGATCCCATCTGAAAGACAAATTTTCATGTTTTTCCTAGTTTTCAACCATAAGTTAACAAGAACTGTTCACACCCATTGTAAGAAAAAGTGAAATTTACATAAAGAATTATCTCTATGATAATTAAGCTCTTTGTAGAGAAAGGAGAATAGTTTAATTGGAGTGGAAGTTTGGTCAAGGCAGACTATAATTTCTTACAGTGTTTGTTTATTTATTGGAGCAGACCAATAGTTTGTAAAAAAAAACAATATTTCTCTCTTTTTCTCAGTACCATCAGCAGGAAGAGAAAGAGAGCAGCTTCTCCACTGCAGCCCCCTGATCTCAGTGATGAAGCAGAGCCTTTTGATTCTGTGTGAGTATATTCATGTAGAGTGAGACTTTCAACACAAGAGCAAATAATGTACACAGAAATAACAAGAGAGAAATGTAATTTTTTTTGTTTATTACAGCAATACATTTCAAATAAGATTATTTAATATTAGGGGCATTTAAATATTGATAATGTAAATATTGAAGTTTTGATAAAGCTCTTTTCTGTTTGTTTTTGTCTCTCTGTTCATCGTAATGTGTTTTCAGTGGTGGGAGAACTAACCAGATCAGATATGCATCCTGTCAGACCTTCACATCTTCTTACTATCAGAACCACATCAATCATTATGATTCAGAAGCATCCCTGCAGCGTGATTCTCACCCACAGGATGATCTGCAAAGAGTCAAAGACCAGCACAAAATTATCATGATGAACAAGTACGAGAGCTTATTTGAGGGAGTCAAACTACAAGAGAATCAAACCCTCCTGAACAGGATTTACACACAGCTGTACATCATAGAGGGAGAGAGTGAAGGAGTGAATGAAGAACATGAGGTGCTGCAGATGGAGAAAAGTTACAAGACACTCCAAGACACTCCAATCAACTGCAATGACATCTTTAATCCTTTACCTGAACCAGGATATGAGGAGAACAGAAGAGAGAAGAAAGACAAAATAAAGACGGTTCTTACTAAAGGCATCGCTGGAATTGGAAAAACCGTCTCTGTGCAGAAGTTCATTCTGGACTGGGCAGATCAAGACTGTTCTTACTAAAGGCATCGCTGGAATCGGAAAAACCGTCTCTGTGCAGAAGTTCATTCTGGACTGGGCCGAGGGAAAAGCCAATCAGGATGTAGATTTCATGTTTGTGCTTACATTTCGAGAGCTGAACTTGATTAAAGATCATCAGTACAGTCTTCACAGACTTCTGTTTGACTTTCATCCTGAACTTCAAGATCTGGACTCAAATATGTATGATGAATGTAAAGTTGTGTTCATCTTTGATGGTCTGGATGAAAGCAGAATTTCACTGATGTTTTCAGACAGTCAGAAAGTTTCTGATGTGACTGAGATTTCATCAGTGGGTCTGTTGATGTCAAACCTCATGAAACCGTCTTCTGCTGGATCTCATCCACTGTGCTTCAAAACCTCCTGAAACAAGATCTCAGTGCAGAAATCCCTCAAACTCTGACTGAAATGTACATCTACTTCCTGCTCATTCAAACAAATATGAAGAACCAGAAGTATGAAGAGAGAGATCCAGAGAAACTCCTGCAGTCCAACAGAGAAGTGATTGTGAAACTTGCTGAACTGGCTTTCAATCAGCTGATGAAGGGCAATGTGATGTTTTATGAGGAGGACCTGAGAGAGAGCGGCATAGACGTCAATGACGCCTCAGTGTATTCTGGGATTTGCACTGAGATCTTTAGAGAGGAATCTGTGATTTATCACAGGAAGGTTTACAGTTTTGTACATCTGAGCTTTCAGGAGTTTTTTGCAGCACTGTATGTGTTTTACTGCTATTTACACAAGAACAGTGAGGTTCTGAAAATTTTCCTGACAGGAAAGTCGAGAACTCAGTGTGAGAATATTCCTCTGGATGTGTTTCTGAAGGGAGCAATGAATAAAGCCTTGAGCAGTAAAAATGGACACCTGGATCTTTTCCTTCGATTTCTTCATGGCGTCTCACTGGAGTTCAATCAGAGACTCTTAAAGGATGTGCTGAGACACACAGAGAACAACCCAGAGATCATCAAGAAAATAATCCAAAACCTCAAACGAGGTCAAAAAACGAATGTCAGCCCTGAAAGATGGATGAATCTGTCACACTGCTTGATTGAGATGAAAGATAATTCTGTTGTTAAAGAAATGCAGGCATTTTTAAACTCTAAAACAAAAAGAAAAAATTTCTCTCTTGCACAATGTTCAACTTTGGCAAACATGGTCCTGATGTCAGAGGAGGTGCTGGATGAGCTAGACTTCAATAAGTACAACATCAAATCAAAAGAGGGCAGAAGGAGACTGGTACCTGCTGTGAGGAACTGCAGAAAAGCTGCGTGAGTGTTAACATCATATTGCAATATAAACATAGTTTGAAAGAGGTCGTGATAGAGGTTTGATGAGTATTTTCTGGGTTTGTGTTCACAAGCATAAAACATAATGGATTGCAGTTATGGCTGAGCTGGTCAGTGTGACAATTGGCCCACTGTAGGGGTACGGCAAAACAAATATGGATATTCGGGCACAAATAAAGTACAGTGTTTTGTTTACAAAATGCCAATTGTTATATTACGACCATGGAAACATTTGAATTCTTGCTGAATGGGAGAGATTTCTGAGGACATAAAATTTAATTAAGCCATATGCAGCTTTGTGTTCTGGTCTGAGGGCTGGTCACTCAGATTTTCGCAAATTTAACAGTATTCCATGAGTTATTCCACTAAATAAGGAATCTCTTGTTTCTTTTTCCAAATACTCACCGTCTCATTTGCACAACCTTTACTGGGAGGAAAAAAAACACTTTGGACCAGTGTAGAATTTGTCTTATTAATTTTAGTTAACCCTTGTACATGAATTTTAAAAAGTTACACATAGGTCCTTAAGGACAAAAATGTCTGTGTCAAAAAACTTCAATGAAAATACTATATTAATATTTTTCTCCACTTTCACCTTTTTTTTAAGCAGCATCATTGTTGAATGAAAAATTCATTAATTTTCAGGTGGTTAACACTTTAAACTGATAGAATACAATAAACTGCTTCATTTAGAGACTAAACCAAGTGCTGTCGAAGCACATGTAAATAGTATATGTTTGGCTTTTGCGCCACGTTTTAGCTTGTAACTAAACATATGAAAACCATAGTAGATTGCATATATTTATTTAGAGCAGGTGGTCTTGATTCAAATGAGCCAAAGCACAATGTAAGATAGCACGAGATAATCCTCGCAGAGTGACAGGACATGCTGCTTTGCTAAAGCTATAGGTTTTCCAGGATCTCACCATTTTATAATGATGACACTAGGGTTGGCGCGATAGACGATGCCATCATCCATCGCCGATGGCTGACAGACATCACGATGTTGAGCTGGCATCGTGATTCCTCCCCCCACCCCTCCTCCCGCAACCCGCCGAAAGTATTGAAATTATATTTCAATACTTTCTCTCGCAATTATATCATTGGGTAATTATACTGTATATAAATTGTGGGCATCAGGGAGCCGCAGTACTTACCACACATTTTACAAGATTAGATGTTTGTCAGTGGTGCTCAGGATCTGCAAATCATTTGCCATCGTCCTATCTGTCATCTCTCCTTACTCTGTTTATGTGGTAAATAAAATTTTACGTACTGTTATGTAACAGGCTACCGCTAGCAAGTGGCTAACCATGCTTTTGTGCTTCATGCTTCGGGCACACCCCCATTATTAATATGAGTAAATTATGAGTATTTTTATGTAAAGATCTCACTTGTTTGGAGAGGTTTTGGGGGGAAAAGTTCATATTTTCTGCATTGCACCAATGGCCCTATCAAGTGGAAAATAGTAAAAAGTTTGAAAAAGACAAAAATCACACAAGGTCACACAAGGGTTAAATCATGGCCATGTTGTGCTAATTATGGTTCACTTTATAATTCACTGTTTAAAATTCACTTTAACTTTTCTGACTGTTGGGAGAAATCATGAAGATATGAGACAAGAGGTGGGCTCTGTTCGGCTTGTGTCCCATAGCCCTCTTAAAGTGTAGAGTGGGATATATGGTGAAGCATTTATCTTTGCAGGGGTGTTGGATCATGAATGAAGATACAGGGAGTCTGGGGTGGATATGAAGTGTCTTTTATTAATGTTGCTTACTATGCAAGTGTCAGATGAGAAGTGGCCAAGAACACAGAAATCACAACTACATATATCTCTCTCTCTGTCTGCTCAAGCATTGGCATACGTCCCAGTTCCCGGGTGCACCATGTACTTGTTTTTCAGTTCTAACACAAACATAGATGGTAGTTCAAGCTTGCATATGAAGAGTTCCAATGCAAAAGCCTCTAAAAGCCATCTTGGTCAAAAATGAGATAACGACACTAAGTGAATGCTCTCCACACATACAGTAGTATATGTTCATCAAGTACTATCACTTCAAATGCGCTAAATCCCAGCCTCAACCCATTCAGAAGTACCAGTACTTACATAGAAACTAGGACTGTCAGTTTAACGCGTTAACTTAATTAGTTCTAAAAGAAATAACGCGATTAAAATATTTTAACGCAGTGGCCCCGCCCCCAGACATCTATGTCATCTTACATTTCATATAGTTGACTGTTGACAAATATGATGCAGGGCAACAACTCCATAAATGCAGTTATGCCCTAAAACTCAAGATATTGGTGCAAAAATGCACCTGTGTGTTTTTGTCTCATATTTATATCATACGATATCACACGAGCAGGGAGAGCAGTATTACACGAGTGCTGATTT